AAGTTACGACTTTCGCCCTACTCAAAGTCGTAACTTACGACGTTGGTAACAGAGGGGTTAAGCAGCACATATTCTAGCAACGAATCCAGCTTACAGACGTCGAGCCCGTCATATCGAGCCACGCTGGCACTTCGAAAGAGAACAGGTCGAGCAGGGTGTGATGGAACGGCACAAGGTCCGAGGTAACGAAAACCCTGCGGACGTATTCAAGAAACCTCTCGAAAAGAGTCGTCTGAAGAATCTGCTCGAACTGGTCGGAGTTGAGAATCACAAGTAATCGAAGCTGTACTTCGAGGGAGGCCTGTTAGAAACCCATCTACACGACACGTTTACTATTCAGCTCGTCTTCTTACCTTCCACTACTTTACTTATCTATACTCTGCTCAGGGAAGTTATGAAACCTTGCGCTACACAAGTCTCAGAAAGTAGAAGTCTTACTTTAGTCTTAAGATGAACCCGCTCTGTGGGGCCAGTACTGTGTTCCCGTTCGTGTTCTCGTCCACTTCGAAAGTCTCCAATTTCCGCAAGTGCACCAGGAGCAGCTCACCACTGCTGCTAGAAGTACTGGGCCGCTCGAGACCACCACTGGCGACGCCCACGGTGGCTGGTCCTATACAGCTCTAACGACACATACGAGCGGACCTACTGCTTCGCGAATAATACCGCATGATGAGGGAGAGCTCCAAAATCACTATTTCTAGGATCCCCAGCGTCTCGATGCGGTGTGAAATGGCAGCAGCAAGGCGTTGAAATGGCTGCAACTTCAAGCGACCAATGGCAAAATGATGACGGATGATGCCGCGCTTCCCGGCAGCGTTACGTGCTCTCATTAGACTGCCAGTCTGCATATCCTATCCTTCTCCCGCTCGACTAACCTTGCCGGCCTCAACAGCTACGTTTTCATACCTCTTTATAGGTGTTAAGATCCATTATTAATTGTGATTTTCTTGCACAAGTTGTGCAGCACAACACCTTAGTGTAAGAAAAACTGAATAAAGGTAAATATTTAAAAACAATACCAGTATTTACGTCGAGAAGTAAATGAGCTATATTTTGCTTCGTACACCATGTTTCTACCAGTTTATACCCATGCTAAACCTTTACGGCGGAGTGAAACCTGAAAAGTTTATACAAATTGGTAGGCGAATATAACCTTCTTATTTGTAATTTGTTAAGAATCGATACTTACTATTGGTGGTGCATATAATCTCAAATGTATCCCTATAGGGTTGTCCATACTACTAGTTGTACCACTACCACGATAAATGTGGCTGTGGTACATATCTTGCGACTTGCCTTGAACCAACACGTAGCAAAAGGGTACGTAGAGATTGACGGCAGGCTCAAGCTCCATCACAATCAGGCATTGGCTGAAAGGTTTGGGTACCACCGAAAAGGTGCCGTCTATAAAAAGGGTAATCTTCGGATACCGCAGTAATATACCCAAATCAGGGTGCCCAAAACCGATCATGCGATAGATTCCGGTGGCCGTCTGTGTGGGGTACTTCACACTTAAGTGTAGAAAGGACCTGGGATCCTTGACGCTTACACAGCGTTCTGATGGAGAGAGTATGGCCTCTTATACACCACCACCCGTACTCCTTGCGTGTCTGCTTAACTATAGAGACGGCAGGTGCGCATGGAATGATAGTGAGCGTGGCGTCGTCGGCAGCGTGGCGGCGCTTGATCCCGTCGTACACCTCTTGCCAGACAACCGCTGGAGGGGTAGCCATGTTGCTGACGCTGCGTCGCTGTAGCTCTAGGCGCATTTCGCTGCGCACATCAATGACTTGTGGCACCGCCTCGTCGCACGTATGTAGAACCCCTTCTGCTACAGCAGCACCTAATCGGACAGTAATCCTAGCCTTGCATCCTTTGCGGAACCTCTTGCAGACGTAGTAACCCGTGTTTGTTTCAGGACACGAGCACTTGATGCAGAAGGAGTAGCCGCGATGGTCCATGGTGCTTAGCTGCCGTGGTGGAGATTGATAAATGGTTGGTAGTGTGCTATAGGACAATAAGTAACTCTAATGTGGGTATTAAGTAACGTTTATGTAATTTTACGTGAGAAGGTCCGGAAGAAAGTTAATGTTTGAGTTTTAGGACAATCTGGAGGACACAAATTAATGCTTCCTCTGGTTGATAATGATTGCAGGCTGTCAGACTTTTTGACCAATAACACAGCCAAAACTACGTATTTACAACGTATACTTGGCTTTAACCAAAGCCATAGATCCCCTCTTTTCATAGCCACCGGTTTCACCTCAATGGATGCGTGTAGCTTTTACCACTACCAGTTTTGCGCCGCGAGAACCAAGTGCAATCTGAAGCAACTGCAATTTGCCCATCAATACATGTCCAAGCTTAATCTAACAGATATCTAGCGCAAAACCATCATTGCCGAACTTCTAAAGCTAACTGACAACGGCGTGTTGCCTATGTTAAGAATAGTCTGAAATCTGGCTGTACACCCATCGTATTTGGAAGCGGTACGCCGTTGCTGTCGCCGAAGGTGTTGTAGGGAGTGTATGGTCCAGCCAGATCAAGAAGAAGTGCGGTTAAAAGCGAAAATAAAAACGCGATGAGGTGCGAGAGAAGCTTGCAAAAGTTCCTGTTGTAGCGCGTTCGGTTGTGCGTCGCGTCGCTGAGACCTCTGGAATCTCCAGATATCCCGTTCGTCGGGCGGTGAGCGAAGGCGTCGTACGACAAAACAACGTTCATCAAACCAGCATTAACCAGCCAAAACAAGCTACAGCGTATCGAGCACGCATTGTCGCTCATCGACGATACAATTGAGCCTATGACAAAAAACTCCTAACCTGGTATATTGCCTTGCTGCAATCATTATCAACCGGAGGAGGTAATATTCTGTAGCGAAGAATTAGTCGCTTTTTAGGACACATCTCCAAATCTCCCTGTAAAA